CTCCTGAACTTTAAAAAAAATCTACAGTTCACGCCACATTTCTTTCAAATTTCTTTCTCTGCACTTTACAGACTTTACGTTTTTTTGCGCTAATGTCATACTGTTGCTATCTGTCTTGCAGCTTACAAATGCCTTTATACTCAGAACTTCAAAATGTTTACATATTTTGGATGTATATTTGCACTTTACAAATTGTTTACATATATTTGGACATATATTTGTAAATTAACAAAGTTCACTGTTTACATTTACTCATGTATATCCATTCAGAAGTTTTACAAGATTTATTTACTCTGTCTATATTGTGCTGGACAATAATTCAATATCAATATGTATCGCGATATAGTTTGACGGTGATATGATTTTTAAACACATTTCCGATATTTCGATATACATTATCAGTGTTTCCCATACATTAATTTATTTGTGGTGTTTGATTTCATTGAATAAACATGAGCACTGCACGTTTCAAAATCAAAACGCGGCGCGGGTGTTTTATATCAATGCATCTCTGAAGGAAACCGACTGTCTTCAGAAAAGTTTCGATGGCATTTTTATTTTATCTGTTAAAGAAGTGTTCATGAGCGGAGATGCTTTGATTACAGCCGTTACTGGAGAAACCGCTGGTTTTATCACTCTAAAAGCGCCTCCTGCTGGCAGAGAATGAGTTAACATTTTCAATAATAAGCCCGTCTCCAGCAACGTTTTTGTTGTTGCTCAATTTTTTTTGTTTTCTGCAGCAACTCTGAGCACTTTTCATACTCTTCATCCCGGCACATTTGTTTCAATCTATAAGAATAATCAGCCAACACTACCAGTCAAAGGATTTTTAACAGTAAGATTTTTTTTTTTTTTAAAGATGTCTCTTTTGCTCACCAAGCCTGCATTTATTTGATCCAAAGTACAGCAAAAACAGTAAAAAACTGTTCTTCTGAACTGTCTATCAAAGAAACCTTAAATTCTACGCTGTTTTAATCATAATAAATGTTTTTTGAGAAGCAAATCCGAATATTGGAATGATTTCTGAAGGATCATGTGACTGGAGTAATGATGCTAAAAATTGAGCTTTGAAATCACAGGAATAAATTACATTTTAAAATATTTCCAAATAGAAAACAGTTATTTTAAATAGTAAAAATATTTCAAAATGTTACCGTTTTTGCTGTATTTTGGATCAAATAAATGCAGGCTTGGTGAGCAGAATAGAATTCTTTAAAAAAAAAAAAATTAAAAATCTTACTGTTCAAAAACATTTGACTGGTATGTTAGCCTATAGTTTGAAGTAGGGCAGGGCGATATAGCTAAAAAAAGTTATCAACGATATAATGTTTCATATCGTTCGGTATCGATAATTATTGACATTTTTTATAACTTGCAGTGAAAAGGAATAAACCTCCACAAATTTGCGATGTGTCTTCTAAAAGTTTAAACCGTTTTAACTTTGCATGGCTGTCTACATCTCTTGTGTGAGACGCGAGTGCAGCAGACGTATTTGTTCGTCTAGAAAATGCGCTGAATACGTGTTCTGTGTGAATAGCTTGGTTTTGGTTTTAACCTAATCAAGATCTTCTACGCATTGAGACAACGTCACTTACATCATCATCGCCGCATCTCGTGCTACACTGATGACGCTCCCTGACGCATATTTTTGCATTCAAATGCAAATGTTTATTTTAAATTAGACTAATATTCATTCTTTACTCACAATCTCCTCATCACAGGCAGGCACAGCACTCATGTTCGTGTTTGTGTGTGCTGCCTGCGTCACTCATAGCACGTGCCTATATCGATCATTTTTTATATCGTTATCGAAGGTGTACCGTCGATAAATAATCGATACAATTTTATCGCCCAGGCCTAGTTTGAAGTTAAAGATATTAATAATTAGGGGAGTCTGAGATTTTTATTTGACAGTGATTTCACATTTCTTGTTTGTATGAAAGCTAAATACAAATAAAAGGTGAACATTAATTTGTGCTGGTTTTTTTTTTCAAAAAAATTAAATAGTTGAGGTTTCATAGACTTTGCAAATTAATTTTTCATAAGTTTGTAGGTACAGACATCTGGGTGTTCTTGGCAGTTTTTATGAGGCTTTTTTTTTAATAGTGTTCATATCAATATCGGAATTATATTGTATCGACCGAAATTAAGAAATATATTGTGATATAAATTTTGGCCATATCGCCCAGCCCTAGTTCATATATATGTTGGCATTGACAAATAAAAAACCTTGAACCTTGTTAGCCAATCATAGAGGTGGGCGTTTACTTCAGAGTCTACAATCCGCCACACCTATTCAAACAGAGCGTTCCGATGAGAGAGGGTCAAAACAGGACAGAAAATAGCCTATTACTAGGGATGTAACGATTCACTCAACTCACGATTCGATTCACGATACTATTTTCACGATTTTCTCACGATTCATTTTTAAACAAAATTAGATTTAAGACAAATTATAAATGAAAAGGTGTCCTTTTATTATTGCTTGTACAAAATGCTGCACATTTCTTTGTGAAACAGAAATGTGTCAAATATAGGGTGACCTTATTTTAGTTTTCCAAAAAGAGGACAGTGCGGGCCGGGGGGCTGGGGTATGGTTGGTTGGTGGTTAAAGTAATGCTGAAAGCGCCCAAAGTATCTCAAATGTCAAAACTCAAAATATGTCATTTCCATACCTAATATACATATTTTACAGTCACTGTTATGCATATTGATCATAAACACAGCTAAAAAGCCCTACTTCACAAAACTTAACATCTAGCACAGTTTTATCATAGGTAGAATGCAAAATGTTTCAATACAAGCATTTCA